CCCATCTGAGACATTCGTACATAAATAGAGATGTCGAAAAGGATTAAACCTTGTTATAAATTAACAAAGAACATGGTTGATGATTATAGGAACGGTATGGAAACGAGGAAAAATGATATTAAAAATATTTAACTGTTAATTTGGTTTTTATATTGATGTGCTTAATTTATTTTAATCTTTATATCTTTTTTATTCAATTAAATCCCTTATTTTTTCAAAATATTTAATTGTGGTCTCTTTTGCTACATTAATGTTAATGTCATTGGGAAGTGCTACGTGTCAAACTTTGGGTTACCACATGTCAAAATTTGGGTTATCTTCTACTTGAAAGATGTTATGTGTCAAAATCAGATGGGTTCTGTGGTAGAACATGACCTAGATGTTGATAGGTGGTAAACCTAAAGTTTAACATGTGACATTTTCAAACAGTGTAATTTAATGAAAGATATCACATTGAGTTTTTTTTTATGAAAATACGGAATCAATTGAGTAAAAAACTATTAAGAGTTCAAACATGAACTTAACTCTCACATTGGGTAGATATGAGAAAGTTAATCACTGTATAAGGATGAAGGTGATGAGTGCATATTTATACCCTTATTTAACCTTTAATATTGGATTCTTAATTTGTTTTTGTACTTTAATAAAATATTTTAATTAAGATTTGTTATAATTGGATTTATTTAGCATGAGATACAAAAACATGTTAAAAATAATTTTTTAGTTATATAAATGTTTTTTGGATATTTTGATGTGTGTTAGTGCAGCTGCAACTAAGTTGAGCTCATTGAGATGTGAAAATAAATTGATTAAAGTTTCATCATACTTTAAAGATAAATCCAAGAATGACAAATAATCAAGATCATAAGATGTCAATCCAAGCATAGCATGAAAAAGTGAAGAAATTTAGCTAAGCTAAGAAGATGAACAAGCAACAAAAATTGGATCTTGCGGTTTTCTCAATTATTTTTCTACTAAAAGGGTTTTGATAATTGATAAATGTTTATGATTAAAGATAATTTAGGAAAAATATGTCTTAAGATATTTTATTTGATATCGTAAATAATTACCTTATTTAACTATATGAATAAATATCAAAAGATAATATTTACCAAATCTTTTTTAATCTAGCATATATCTTCTCAAGTATTTTTAAAACTCCACAATAATCAAATATATTTTGAAGATATTGAATTATTTAGAAGATAATTAGAGGAAATTGCATTACCATAAAGAAGATTACATCAACAGAAAAACCTGAAACAAAACTCAATCCAATTTCTATATAAAGAAACTTAGGGAAAGACATTAGGGAGCTCAGGAACCTTTGGGGATTCAAATTTTGTCCACCCTCTCTTCTCTCATATCCTCCCCACCCTCTTCTTCTATTTTCATGTAATTTCAACATTTCATGGAGTGTTAAGCCTCTACGGTTGATTGTGCTGTAATTTCTTAATTGGATTATGAGGTTAGATGAATAAATTTGTTTGTTCTTTTGATTCTTGTTGTAATTTATTTTTATCTATGTCTTTTGCTTCTTAATTAAGTAAAAGTAATAATTTTTACATATAACAAGTTAACACGGTGTCAAATCTATATAACATATCAATCATATGAGTCAAAGGGTTTTTAATTTAATTAAGAATTTACTTTGATTAAAGTTAAAAACTTTTATATGATTGATGAGTTTTTGCCAATAATTGAGAATGTATTTTGATTAGTGGTAAAAAAATTAACAAAAATTAATCATACTTTGGTTAATTAGCTTTTTACTTGATATAAAAGAAATCAACCTATTTTTTTATCATTTTTTTTATCTTTTTAAATATCTTTATAAATTTCCTTTTTTTATCTTGTGTTCTTTAATCTTTTCTTTATTTTTACCTTTTTTATTATTTTACTAACCCTTTCTTATATTTTGTTGGGTATTATCTTAGCAATATTGAAGTTTCTATAATTTAGTAGTATTAATTTGATCGCGTCAACAAGAAAACCGAATAAAACTCATTATCTTAAATTTTAGAAGTGATGTCAATTTTCTATATAAGTTGGATTCAAGTTTCCCTAGTATTATGTCTCCCTAGTGAATCTTTTTTCTCGATAAAGAGACTCGTAATGACATCAAAGTTAATAGTTAGCTTTTGTGACCAACTCATATAAATACAATATGAAAAAAAAATTATAAAAGTTTTAAGTAATTGTGTACCGAGTCTAGTCTCATATCATAACGACACCATCAAATTCAGTAAATATAGGTATAAAGACCCATAAACCATTTTAAATTAAAAATAGTATAAAATTCTTATATAAATTGAGCTCAAAGGTGTGTTCTCAACTTTCTCCTTATATAAAAACTCATTCAAAACAATTAAAGATATCAAAACTAAATTACTAATTAAACTTATAAAAAAATATCCTAAAACTACTAAAACAATCTTATATGTTAAAAGATAATAATGTAAAGTTATGGTTTTGTAAAACTCGTTATATCTAGGATATATATATATATATATATATATATATATATATATATA